TTTAAAATAAATTTAGCAGTTTAAATATATATATTTTTAAAATTAAATTATGTATTTTTAAAATCTACATTAAATTATATATATATTTTTTATCAGAATAAAGTTACATTTTTTTATTAAATTAAATCATATATTTTTTTATCAGAATTAAATTAAATGTTTTTATGATCTTCATTTTAATAAGATAAAAACAAAATAAAAATAAAATTTTAGTTTTATTTTATTTTTTTTTATTAGTAATTAGTGCATATATCAAACATAATGTCCAGGGCCAATTCTAGGAAAAAATTTTGGGCAGCAAAATTTGGCCCCCCTCCTCCCCCGTTTTGGCAGACTTTAGCAGAAATGCAGCATTTTTTCGCAATATTTGCTGTAAAAACATAAAAAAATGTAAAAAAATGTAAACAAAATAAATAAATAAAAGTCCTCAAATTTTAATTAGGCGGCGCCCAAATACGGTTGACGCTGTCGAAAACGGTCTAGAATAGCTCCTGTTGTCATTTAAACTTTTGTAACAAATATTTTTACATAATTCTCATTCAAAAGTTAATGTGACTTTTTTTAAATTAAGTACTTCTCTTATCTTACCCAGATGAAAATTTTTCTTGTAATACTTGATCGGATACATAAGGAAAGTTTAATTTATTCTTCCATAGACTTGGAATTTTTTTAAAAATATTCGCTATTCTTTTTGTCCTTTGATTTTAGCTTCAAGAAACTGGTATCGCCCAACTACTTGCCTTTTGAGTGGCATTTTTCTTTGAGTGAAAGCTCTTGTGAAGGCATGGTTCCCCGTTTTTTGTCTGCCTGCTGAAATTTCACCAGATTTTTGGCCTAAATGTTCTTGTTCTTCTCTCAATGTTTTGAGTTACCTGTCGCTACTTTTTATAAAAATTTTTGAACTCAGCAAAGCTCTCGCATATTCTAGTCATTTTTCTTTATAGTGCTAAGTATAGACTAGAAATAATTTGTGTAAATAAAAATAATATTGTAAACAATTGATAACATTCACTTTTCTACTTTTATAAAAAGCACATGCTTTATTTGAATGTAGAAAAGTGAAAAGCCATTCGTTTATTTACTTGAATTAAGATCTTCAGGCCTTGTTTAAATAAAAAAATGCTTTTTTAAATAAAAAAACGCATTAGCCTAATGTGAATTTGAAGTCAAAAGGTTTATTTTTTTATTTTTCAAAGACATTAACTTTTTAAAATTATCGCAATATTATTAATTACCGCAAAACAAGTTAAATACATGTTAAATAAATGTAGAAATGCAATTATGGAATGCTTATTATTATTATTATTATTATTTTTTTAATAATTAAACATAACATTGCATTTTTTTAAATATATGTAAACAAATTTCTTTCTTTTCTCAACATTGGTATAGATATATTAAAATATATTAAACTTTTTAAAATTATTTCTTGAATTTCTAATTGCAGCGTTGCAACTAAAAGTGATTTTTTATTTTTAAAAAATTAGAGAGTAACAAATAAAATAATTAAATTAGTTTATTTACTTTATTTATTGATAGTTTTTATCAGCAATTTTGTTTTGAAAGCAAAGATTATTTTTTCAAATATCTTTTATTAAAATTATATTGCTGTATATAACATTTCAAATATTTTTATTAAAAAATATTTGCTGCACTTTAACTTGGGTTATAAAAAAGGTTTAACTTATGTTTTGTGCAATTTTTTGATTCAGGCTTGGAACACGTTTATAAGGAATTTAATTTTAAGTAAAAAAAAAATATATATATTTAGGAAAACTGAAAAAACAATTTTGATAAAAATGAGCTAATTTTTTTCTTAAAATAAATAAAATTTAAATTTTTAACAAAACATAGTAATATTTTTGAATAAAATTGGTAGTTGAGTTAAACCCAAGTATTAACTTTAATTTATTAAAATTAAATATATATTTTTCTATCAGAATTAAGTTATATATATTATTTATCAAAATAAAATTTTATATTTTTGTTAAATTAGTTTTGAATTAAATCATATTTTTATCAGAATTAAATAATATTATTATGATCTTTGCCTGAAGTATTATTATGATCTTTGCATTTTTCAAACAAAAAAATCAATTATTACAATAAAATAAAAACAAAATAAAAATGAAATATCATAATATAAAGTAAAGATAATATAAAATTTAACTTTTTTATTATTATTAATTTATTCTTTATTATTAAATAAAAATATAAGTAAATTTTTTTATTGCAATAAAAAGTTGTATAAATATTCTTATACTCTCATGATGATAAATAAAAATTTTTATCATATATTTCTTTAAAGGTTTTTTTTTACGTTTCGTTTAATAACTTAAACGAAAACATAAAAAAAACCATTAAAGAAATATATATAATATGCACAAAAAAATTAGTCGTAAACTATAAATAATTTTGTTTTCTGTTGCTAAATATTTCGATAAAGTAAATAATAGAGGTTTAGTTTTTGTAATTTTAAATACGATCTGAATTTTTTTCAATAGTTAAATTATACTATTATAATTATATCTAACATAATTATCATTCAAATATTTGGAACATATTGCTTATTGGAATTATCGCTTATATTTAACTAAATTGTTGTTCAAACCTTTAGAATAAACTTTTCCATAATTGTCATTCAGAAGTTAAAGTGGTTTTTATAAAATTAATTACTTCTTTTATCTTGCCGCTTATAGAATAATTTAAAAGTTAAAATATGATAAAAAGTTGCTTAATGGGGTATGTAAAATAGCTTTATGGATATGTAAATTGTCGGCAGCGTAACACTTTTAAACAAGGCCTGCTGCATATTTTATAATAAAGTAGGTGCTTTTTTTTACATAAAACATATTTAGAAATAGAAAAAAACCATTTACAAATTCTTTAGTTTATGGTATTTATCAAGATTTTATTTTTTACAGGAACCTTAAAACTTTCGATATATTAAAGTACTGGATTTTAATTAAATTTAATTTTAAAAATCATTTAAACTTAATTAAATTTAATCATTTAAATTAATTTCTAAATTGAATTCAATTAAATTAAAAAATATTATTGTATTAGGTCAAAAGAACTTTACACAATATTGAAATAAAAAACAAAACATTTTAAAACATTTGTGAATAAAAAATTGTGAAACTCTCTTAAACAAAAGCACTTCTCCTTTTTTAAAAGAAAAAAAAGTTTTTAATTTGCTTTTGCATAATATAATCTGTGATTATCTATAACGGAGAGACTTTTTTTGTTTTATGTAATGAATTAGTTAGAATTTTATTAAAGAAAAAAATTTCTGTAATAAAAATTGAGAAACTATTTTACATTTCTTCAAAATTTAATTTAAATTTTTAAAATCAGATTTAATTTATCATATTAAGTCTTTTATTAAAAAAAAAAATTTAATAAACTATTTGTATCTTTAAGATATTCACAGTTGCGGTTAAATGCTTTTTTTTATGACCTTATATTTTTTGAATAAACATCACATACATGGTATTGAAAGATAAATTTGTATAATTATACGCATTTGTATAACATATATATATATATATATATATATATATATATATATATATATATATATATATATATATATATATATATATATATATTTGTATAATATATGCATTTTGTATATAAAATGTGAGCTGCATAAAGTTTCTTAACAAGGCCTTTTAAAGTATTTTTTTCACAATTTTAATTATATTACTTTATCTCTAAATCCTTAAATAAAATTTGTAAAAAAATAAAAATAAAATAGTATTTTTATTTCAATGATAAAACTTTTAAGTTTTTATTTAGAAAGTATTTTTTTAAATACATTTAAACGCTTGTACAATTTTCTTATGTTCTAATTAATAATAGTAAATGGGGAAAACAGTAACTTTGGCACTGTGACGGTACCAGGCAACTTGTGTCACCTGGTACCGTTGGGCAATCACGTGTGTACACCTCTGATATATACATATATTATATATATATATATATATATATATATATATATATATATATATATATATATATATATATATATATATATATATATATATATATATATATATATATATACATATATGTATATATATATATATATATATATATATATATATATATATATATATATATATATATATATATATATATATATATATATATATATATATATATATATATGTAGTTTAGCACTTATGGGGACAGATTTTACAAAAAAAATGAACACTTACGGGGACATTAGCATTATCGGGCAAATTTTAGTGTACCCGTTAATTTTTTGTCCCCGTTAGCATGATTTTTTTGTAAAAAAATGTACACATAAGAAAATTTTATAGAAAATGAAAAGTACATACATTGGCTGACAAATAGCCTGACTTGCAAGGGAGTGCTGCTACATCAACTGAGTGTTTGGTTAGGGTTAGGGTTACGGCAAGGTTTGTCGTTAAGTTAATCGTTTTTGTAAAAAGATGAAGTTAAAAATGAAATATAATATAAAATAAATAAATAAAAATAACAAAAATTAATATAAACAATATATTTTTATTATAAAACAATAAATTTAAATATGTATAAATAAAAATAGAAATAAAATAAAAATTAAAAAATATATATAAATATGATAAAAATAGTATAAAAAAAGTAAAAAAAAAAACAGAACGGGAACAAAAATAACATGTCCCTGAAAGTCGCCAACAAGGATGCTAGGATATATATATATATATATATATATATATATATATATATATATATATATATATATATATATATATATATATATATATATATATATATATATATATATATATATATACACACATACATACATACATACATACATACATACATACATACATACATACATACATACATATATAAATGTATATGTATATATATATAATTCTTATTTATTAGTAACATATAGTAATAATGCTACGTTATATACATGTAATAATGTTATATTGCACATATAGAAAAGTTTTAAAGTAAAAATCATCATTTAATTTTAGAAGTGAATAATGGCCCTTCTGGTGGAAACGAATTATCACATGGTGTAAAGGAAGCAGGCTCATGTGGTCCTCCCATGTCCGGAATGTTTGCTGGTGGAATGCCGAAACTTCGCCCTGCTGCTGACAAAGGGAAGCCTGGTGGTGGAGGTATGCATAAAATTATTTAAAGTTAAATGTTTACATGTAGAAATAATTAAAAACAATTTCATTAGGAGTTTAATAAACTATAACTTGTTAGTTAAATTAAGTGAATGTGATTTAATATACATTGATTTTTTTTTTCCTTGTCATCACAATATTTTTATCTAAAGATTTTCCTGAAAAAAACATTAAAGAAATCTTCGAAGGAATCTTGTCCCTGTAAGCATAATTTTTTTGTAAAAAAAATGTTCCCATAAGCAACTTTTACAGAGAGCAAAAAAGTATATACATCGACTATCAAATAGCCTGACTTGCAACGGAGTGCTGCTACATCAACTGAGGGTTTGGTTAGGGTCAGCATCAAAATCAGGCTGAGGGTTAGGATTATAGCTAGTGTTGTGACCAAAACTAAAAGTTGTAACTAACTAAACTAAAAATACCGTAACTAAAATTAGTTGACTAACTTTTTAGTTAACTAAAATTAGTCAACTAACTTTTAAGTTAACTAAAATCAGTCGACTAACTTTTTAGTTAACTAAAATTACCCGACTAACTTTTTAGTTAACTAAAATTACCCGACTAACTTTTTAGTTAACTAAAATCAGTCGACTAACTTTTTAGTTAACTAAAATTACCCAACTAACTTTTTAGTTAACTAAAATTACCCGACTAACTTTTTAGTTAACTAAAATTACCCGACTAACTTTTTAGTTAACTAAAATCAGTCGACTAACTTTTTAGTTAACTAAAATTACCCGACTAACTTTTTAGTTAACTAAAATCAGTCGACTAACTTTTTAGTTAACTAAAATTACCCGACTAATTTTTTAGTTAACTAAAATTACGTGACTAACTTTTTAGTTAACTAAAATTACCAGACTAACTTTTTAGTTAACTAAAATTAACTGACTAAGCTTTTTGTTAACTAAATATACGCGACTTTGTTTTTAGTCCAGCTAAAGAATTTTATAAATATATAATAATAATTTGGGTTCATGATATCATTTCTATTAGAATTTTTGAATAAGATTGCGAATGCATAATCATTTTATCGCATAATACCGCAAAAATAAAAAAATATCAAAATAATTTAGTATCAGTGTATCAAGATACTTTAAGAAAATATTATAAACAAGATAATTCAAGAAAATTTTTCATAAAAAATCTAAAAAGTAAACATAGTAAAACACGAATATCTATAGAATTGAATAAGCTACCAAGGCCAACACAAAGGGGTGTAAGGATGGGTTGGTTGGTTTCGTGTGTGACATCCCATCAATGAACTTTTAGCTCATTTAGTAAGCCAATTTGACTCTTTTAGATAAGTAAGTTAGCAAATGTAGATTTTCAGAACAGTCAGTTGGTAAATTTAAAAAACCAAGAATTTTTTTTCCTCTTTCTAGTAAGTAAAATTTTAACGGCACTCTCTACGTGTTACCTACTTGTGCCGGCCCTGTAAACTACAGAATATTACAATAATTCGGTTTTATTATGTGCCACTTTTTTGGATCTAAATTATAAAAGTTTTCGATTCTTTGAAAAGTACAAGGGAAAAAAAATTTTTAAATGCGTTAGAGAATTTTTGTCAAAATTTCATTAAACAAAGTTTGTGATATAATTCTATTTAAAAAGGTGACAAACAAATTATCATTTGACAATGATAATTATCAAGTTATCATTTGACGATGAAGATGATATTTCCGGAAACGATAGTGACAAAATAATAAGTTTAGATTTAAAAAGAGAAACTAGTGGTTATATAAAATTGTCAGTAAATGAGCAATGTATTTCCAATAATGTATTGTATTTCAACAATGATTTTATGTACGCCTGGTACCAGTGCACTAAGTGAACACCTTTTCTCTGAGGCATTAAACACTTATGCATGCAAAGCGAAACGTATGCAAACTTATACTTACGTATGCGAAGCAAAACAGAATAACGACTGAATGTTTTCAAATATTGATGTTTTTGTACGAAAATTTGGAATTTTTTAATTTAGTTTAAATTCATTAAATTTAATACTGAAGTTTTTTCTTGTAATAAATATTTTTTAATATAATTATTGTTCTAAAAGAAATATTGTTAAATTAGTATTCGAACTCTTTTGTGTAAAACTGATTTTTTGATACAAAAAATTAAATTAATATAGTTTTTTAAATTTAAAATGTGTTAAAAAAAAAGATAAAGAAAAAATTGAAAATTAAAAAAATTAATGTGTGATTTTAATGTTCTTGAATGTGCGGTATTATTATGATGTTGGCTAAAACAGCAAACTTTTTTACCTTTATTATTTTAATAGTTTGGTTTTTCTTTTTTTTATATATTTATTAATATATTCTCACCAAAGAAGGGCTTTTTTTTATTTAAAAGCCAAGTTGCAGTTTTAATAGTTTAGTTTTTTTTTTTTTTTATATTTATATATTCTTTAGTACTTTTTTAAACATCTATCTAATGAAAAAATATAAAAATAAATATAATAAAAAAAGTTATTGAAATTTAATTGATAATTTTTTCGACCCGGTTTTACACGTATTTTAAAGTGCTTAAAAACTACGTATTGCATTTTTCAAGTAATTAAAATGTCATAAACAATTTACTGGTTTTAAAAGCGACCGCAGTTACTTAATAAAATGTTTTTATTATTCAACAGTTAAGTATTATTTAATACATTTTATATACTATTCAACAACTTATATTGCGGTTATTGCATTCAAAAATGCAAATACCAGTTTTCCTTTTAAATTTTGCAAGTATCGCCAACCGAAGAACAACTATACTCTGAAAGCAAAAAAAATAAATTCATAATAACTTATTTAACGATTTCCTTTTGGGTTTATGTCAATACTTTCGCCTGCCTTACTATAGTGTTTGCGGGTTGTAATAGCAGTTAGGAGAGGTTGATATTTGAAGAGGTGGGGAGGGGGAGTCATAGATTTGTTGTGAAAATTAGATATTGAATCCATTCCTATAATATGGCAGGGGACAGGGCTGTACTGAACAACGAAAACGTAGAGGGAGGGGGGTTCAAATGAAATAAGCTTTTTTACCATAAAAATCTCACCAAAGTAGGGCTTTTTTTTATTTAAAAGTTAAGTTGCAGTTTTAACCGACCGAGTCTCAAATTTTCTAAATTACCGACAAAACCGACAGAATATTGTAACACCGGGAAGGTGCCCATACTCACGTCGGTACAGCCTTGGCAGGAGAGATTATTTTTGATTTGCGATTGTTTTCGCACACTACCTATAAGAAGCAGCACATAAAAAATATAAGTTAAACGTTCAATAAGCGTACCAAATTTGATATAATTGACTTAAGGGCATTATTTGTATATTCCATGCTGATTGGGTGTTTATAAACAATTGCAACAATTTCATAGGCAGTTGTCTCAGAGCTGGGAAAAAATTAAAATAATCAAATTTTGCTTAAAACATTTCTTTTGAATAACAGTTTAGCTCGACTGGGCTCTAGGATTCACAACTAGTTAAGTGTTTAATTACGATAAAATAATATTTATCGCCTTAATAATGCTTCCTCGTGTGTAAAATTTTTATGCGAAAGATTATTTCTTTTTTCAAGCACTAAATCTTGCTTTAGTCGACTAAATTTAGTTACACTAAATATTTAGTCGACTAATTTGAGTTAACTAAAAAGTTAGTTGACTAATTTTAGTTAGGCTAAAAAGTTAGTTGCTTAATTTTAGTTACCTAAAGAGTTAGTCGGGTAATTTTAGTTAGCTAGAAAGTTAGTCTGGTAATTTTAGTTAACTAGAAATTTAGTCTGGTAATTTTAGTTAACTAAAAAGTTAGTCGGGTAATTTTAGTTAACTAGAAAGTCAGTCGGGTAATTTTAGTTAACTAAAAAGTTAGTTGGGTAATTTTAGTTAACTAGAAAGTCAGTCGGGTAATTTTAGTTAACTAGAAATTTAGTCTGGTAATTTTAGTTAACTAAAAAGTTAGTCGGGTAATTTTAGTTAACTAGAAAGTCAGTCGGGTAATTTTAGTTAACTAAAAAGTTAGTCGGGTAATTTTAGTTAGGCTAAAAAGTTAGTTGCTTAATTTTAGTTACCTAAAGAGTTAGTCGGGTAATTTTAGTTAGCTAGAAAGTTAGTCTGGTAATTTTAGTTAACTAGAAATTTAGTCTGGTAATTTTAGTTAACTAAAAAGTTAGTCGGGTAATTTTAGTTAACTAGAAAGTCAGTCGGGTAATTTTAGTTAACTAAAAAGTTAGTCGGGTAATTTTAGTTAACTAAAAAGTTAGTCGACTAATTTTAGTTAACTAAAAGGTTAGTTAACTAATTTTAGTTCAACTAAAAATTTAGTTAAGTATTTTTAGTTAGACTAAAACTAACCTTAACTCCCACCCCTAATTACAGCAAGGTTTAAATATGATTATATTGCTGTAATTAATCATTTTTGTAAATAGCTGAAAATAAAAATGAAATATAATATATTATAAGTAAATAAAAATAGCAAAAATAAATATAAAAAATATATTTTTATAATAAAATAATAAATTTAAATATGTATGAATAAAAAAAGAAATAAAATAAAAATTTAAAAAATTATATAAATATGATAAAAATAGAAAAAAAAATAATAATAAATAAATTCTAATAATATATATATGGGCAATTCCATTGCAGAAAATGAAAAAGTAGTCAAGTTTTATTCTCTTTTTTGTCAATTTTTAGCAAATGAATATTGGTGTAGACACACGAAAGTTTATTTAAAATACACCTTTAGTACTAAAATTAATTTAAGTTATTTTACTTTTTTGAAAGTTATGGTTTTTCTCATTGTCGCATGATGAAGAAAGTATCAGTGTAAAATGTTATTTTAACCATGAATTTATCTGCATAATCGGAATTAATTTAGTGTGAAAATGGATCCAACATTTTATGCTTTATAAAATATATATATTTCAAGGAAATAACAAAAGAACTTTTGCAATTTTTATGTAACGTAAGGTAACAAAAACATGATAAAAATTTGTTTTTTCTA